GACCTCATCGAGCACGAGAAGGTGAGCGGTGCCCTCCTCACACCTGTGATGAGCTTTGGGGGGTCTCCTCAGCTCCCCCAGGAGTCACCTGCTCTCCCTGTGCTGGAGAGGTGACGGGACGACTTGGAGCCAGGCGAGGGGACACGGGGTGTCACACACTCATGGAGGTGACAGGGTGTCACACCCTCATGGAGGTGACACCGCCACCACCTCTCCCCAGGACAACTACAACCTCCTGCACAAGCGGATCAACCACACCTGGGACTTCGTGGTGATGCAGGCGCGGGAGCAGCTCCGGTGAGTGGGGGCCCAGCCTTGCTGCACCCCAGGGAGCCCCCAGGGGATGGAGCACCCCTGGGTGCTGGGGCAGGGGGGGTGTGCCAGCCCCCCAAACCCTCACCCCGCTGCCTTTGCGCGGGCAGGGCGGCCAAGCAGCGGCGGAAGGGCGACCGCATCGTCATCGACTGCCAGGAGCAGGCGTACTGGCTCGTCAACCGGCCCCCGGTGAGGATGGGCTGGGGAGAAGGGGGGGGGCAAAGGGGTGCCAGGCTGGTGGGTGCAGCCCCGGGCAGGTTTGGGGCACGGACGGGGGGGGTGTGTCCCACCAGCCCCCGGCACGATGCTGTCGTTGCAGCCGGGAGCCCCCAACGTGCTGGAGCAGGGTCCGGAGCGCAGGAACTGTCACACCACCCGTGTCCAGCTGGTGAGCAGGGGGGGTGGGCACCCATCCCCCTCCCAAAGCTGTGCCCATATTTTGGAGGGGCGGGGGGAGCCCCAGCTCTGCTAACATCTCCGTGTCCAGCCTGTCCCCCCACCCCAGCTGAGCTGGGGGGTCCCTGTGTTTGCCTGTGCACCCACCACCCCTAATCCCCGCAGGGTGGCCGTGCTGCCGGGAGCCCTGGCACCCCCGGGGTGCCCGCGGCCACCACCAGCCCCCTCCCCATGTTGTGACCCCACTAACTCTGCCCCAGTCCATGTGTCCCCCCCTCCAGACCACCCTCACTAACCACCCACTTTCTCTTCTCTGCGCCGTGTGCCGTGTCCTCTGCCCACGTAAGTGTCACTAACCCAGGGCCGGTGCCACGCTGGGGTGTAGGGGGGGGAGATGGATTCTGGGGTTCACCCCATGAGCTGTGCGGGGTGATGAGGTGTGGCATGAGGGGTGCGGGGATGAGGCTGGAGGCCACGGGGATGGGCTTTGGGGTGCCAGGGTGAGGAGGGGGATGGACGCATGGGTCCTTGCCCAAGGTGGCGATGGCAGTGCTGGTGGGCACGATGTCCCAGCCCCATCGTGCCCTCACCCAGCCCCACGCATCTCTTGCAGAACAAGAACATGGATTACTACAAGCGGGAGGTGAGCGGGGCGAGGGGCTGGGGGGCTCCTGGGGACACGGGCTGCTGGGCACCGCTGAGGTGTTCCCTGTGCCCGGCCCCAGATCGAGTACTGCAGGAAGGCCATGGCCAGGACCAGGGTGAAGTCCTCCATCTGCCTGGAGGGGTGAGTGGCCGGTGGCTGCCCCGGCCGCGGGCAGGGTCCCCGTTGGGGTGATGGGGGCACCCATATCCCTTGCGGCTGGCACTGCAGTGCCCACGCTGCCGTCCCTCAGCGGGGAGCAGAGCTGAGGCTCTGTGGTCACCCCAGAGCCCAAGCGTGTCCCTGCCATGTCCCCACGATGGCTGGGGCCGGTGGCAGTGGTGGGACGGTGGCCCCGGCCCCCTCCAGCCGCCGTTCCTGGCAGGTACATCAAGTTCAACGAGCAGTACGTGCCCCACGACCCCATCATGTCCGGCTGCCTGCCCAGCAACCCCTGGATCACAGATGACACCACGTACTGGGCCATGAACGCCCCCACGTGAGCACCCACCTCCCTCCCCAGTACACAGGGTGCAGGGGAGGGGATGGGGCCCACCCTGACGCCGGTGTTGCCCTCAGGGTGCCGACCCCCACAAAGCTGCGCGTGGAACGCTGGGGCTTCAACTTCAGCGAGCTCATCACCGACCCCCTGGGCCGGGCACAGCTCCTTGAGTTCCTCAAGAAGGAGTTCAGTGGTGAGCAACCCCATCCCTGCACCCCCAAACTCATCCTCCCATCCCAGCACCCCCAAACCGACCACTGTATCCCAGTACTAACTTGTCCTAAACCCACTGCCCCATCCTGGCATCCCCTGACCCACCACCACCACGTCTCAGCAACCCCTGACCCACCACCATATTCTAATATCCCTTGACCAACCTATCCTGACAGCCCTTGACCCACCACCACATCCCAGCACCCCTTACACAACCTGTCCTGGTACCCCCAAACCCACCACCATGTTCCAGCACCCCTTAACCAACCTGTCCTGGTACCCTCAAACCCACCACCACATCCCAGCACCCCTTACACAGCCTGTCCTGGTACCCCCAAACCCACCACCACCACGTCCCAGCACCCCTTACACAACCTGTCCTGGTATCCGCTGACCCACCACCACATCCCAGCACCCCTTAACCAACTTATTCTGGTACCCCCAAACCCACCACCACGTCCCAGCACCCCTTGACCAACCTATCCTGGCACACCCAACCCACCATCATATCCTTGCACCCCCAGACCCACTGCAATGTCCCAGCATCCCTGGACCCACCACCCCACATCACACCAGCTGGCTCCATCTCAGGGGGTTTGACCCCACAGTTGGCTGGGTCGTGGGCCCAGCAGTGGTGACCTGGGGGGAGCCACATCCCCATCCCCAACACCATGTCCCCCTCCTCAGCCGAGAACCTGAGCTTCTGGGAGGCGTGTGAGGAGCTGCGCTATGGGGAGCAGTCCCGCATCGCTGAGATTGTGGACTCCATCTACCAGTGAGTGCCAGGGGGGTGAGGCTTTGGGGGGAAACTGGGGGCCCAGGCCATCATGGTGCTACACCCCACTGCGGGGCTGGGCACTCGCCACCGGTTGCGACTCCCCAGGCAGTTCCTGGCCCCCGGAGCCACCCGCTGGGTGAACATCGACAGCAAGACCATGGAGAGGACACTGGAAGGCATCAAGACGCCCCACCGCTACGTGATGGATGATGCCCAGATGCACATCTACATGCTGATGAAGAAGGTGGGCAAGGGCAGGGCTGGGTAGGGCAGGCAGGGTTGGGCAGGAGCCTTGACCCCTCTCCTCCCCCAGGACTCCTACCCGCGGTTCCTCAAGTCAGAGCTCTACAGGAACCTCCTGGCCGAGGCCGTCATCCCCCCAGAGACCAAGAAGCGGTGAGGGCAGGGGCTGGACCCCCCCCCAGGTTTGGGGTGGTGCCCACCAGGGCTGACCCCTCTCTCTGCCCTGCAGGGTCTTCCCCTTCATGCGCAAGCAGCGACACTCCAGCCCCAGCCCGGCCCTGCTCCTGCCGGCGGGTGACGCCGAGGAGAGGAGCAGGGTCCCCGCTGCTGCCCCCGTCCCCGAGGAGGAGAGCTGAGGGCCCCGGACCCCCAACCAACATGGCAGCCCCCTGGCCCAGTGCCCTCCGGCTCAGCTGCAGCCCCCTGCCCAGCACGCCCTGGCCAGCAGTAGCAGTGAAGGAGACAAGCCATACGCCCCCCACCCTCACCCCCCAAACCTGGCAGCACCCCCAGGGCCAGGCTGGCCCCCCTGCAGCCCCCGCTCACGTCCCCACACCCTCCTCTCCCTCGGTAAGGGGGGGGGTGTCCTGCACCCAGCCGGCCTGGTGCAGGGTCACCCCCTCCTCCTGTCCCCCCCAGGCACACGACAATAAAGCCCCTGTGGGGAAAGGCTGGGGCTCCTGTGGTTTTTGGGGTGACTGGGGAGGTGGCACATGGGGGTGGGCACCCCTCCGGGCTGGATGGTGTCCTGTCCCACCCCCAGGCTGGCAGCAACCCTCTCCCCATCCAAAGCACCCAGGAAGGGGGCAGACCCCCTGGCACACACACTGGGGGTGCAGCCACCCCTCGCCACCCCTCGCCCAGGGACTCTGCCCGCTCGTAGGGGCAAAAACCCAGCGCCATCTGCCCTCCTGGCACGGCCCAGATGGCACTCGGGGCACTCAACCCCCTGCAGCCACCGGGGGGAGGACAAAAAGGCCTTTTTTGGGGGGGGCCAGAGGTGCCAAGCCGGGCTGCCAGGGCCCCCGGGGGCTGGCAGTGGCAGGCAGGGAGCCGGGCTGGCAGCTGAGCTGCTCTTCCTGCCCATGGCTCGTTAATCTGAGCAGAGGCCACGGATCCGGCGGCGGGATTATTCCCCAGCCCCAGCTGTGGGGGATTAACGCTGGGGGGTTATATAAAGGAGAGGGGGGCCGCTGGCCCCCAGCACCCAGCCCACCCTGCACGCACCCAGGGACACGCACAGGGGAGCAGGAGGACAGGGATGTCCCCAACCCCCCCAGCGGTGCCAGCCCCAATCCCTGGCCAACAAATGTCCAGGATGCTCGGGATGCTGGGGACCAGTGGCATCCGTCCTTGCCACAGAGCTTGGGACCCCCATCACGGAGCAGGGGGCAGAGAGAGGGGTCTGGGGAGCAGGAGAAGCTGCAGGAGCCCGGGTCACAGGCTGGAGCTGGGGACCTCGGCGCTGGCAGCCACCGGGCAGTGACAGATGGTCCCAGGCTCCAGGAGACAGCGGCTGCCACGCGTCTCCCTCCGGCTTGATCCAAATCCAAGCCCCGGAGTGAGATTTTCATGCTGATGGACTGCAGCAGGAATCTGGGGTGTAAAACCAGGTCACGGAGCCCCCAGCGGGCGGTGAAGAGGGGGGGCAGAGACGGGGGGGGGGCAGCAGGGTTATCTAACCCCAGCCTCCTTCCCCAGCCTCCCTTCTCCCCGTCCTGCAGCAGGACTGGGCAGCAGGCAGAGCCCCAGCTGGCCCAGCCATCGAAGCATCACCAGGACACCTGGATCTGCCCCCCCCCCCTTTCAAAAAGGGAGGTTTCTGCCTCTGGGAAGTCACACAAAAGGCTGCCAAAAAAATCCCGGGAGTCTGGAGCAACCTCAGCTGCAACGACAAAAGCAGGGCACCATTTACAAACAATGCAAAAGAGGATTTATTGGAACGGTTCCGGTTAGACCAAGTCCTATCGGGCACAACTTGCAATAAGTTAAAGAACCAAACCAAACAGTCTTAGTGTTAAAAAACACACTAATACATAACACAGTGATATATGCCATCATCACCCAGCTGAGTTATTGAATCAAGGCACAAAGTCATTCATTAAATACTGCAAAAAAACCAATTACACAGGGAAATAAGCTGGGAACGGGACTTGTTTTGTTAAGAAGATGCTGGTTTGGCACTGATGCGTTGAATTGAGCTGCCAGAGGGAAATCTGCGTTCCCAAAGTATCTGGAAACATTAATGGACAACTTAAAGCCAGAAAAGCACCCTCCCCCCCCACCAAAAGCTGAAAATCCAGCTCTCCTGGAGGAACATTCAGTGTGCCCACGGGACGTGTCAGGTCTGGGCAGGGATGGGAGGAGTGAGAGAACCCAGATGCTGTGATTGCGGTGAGAATAGAGCCCGGGTATCTTGCTCCCTGCCCAAGGAATTTCAGTGGGATACAGTCCACATCCCACATAGAGATGGGACCAGCACGCAAACCCCGGGCTCCCACTGCCAGGCTTTCCCCAGCCCTGCCCACCCGGGTTCTGCGGTGCTGGCACAGCCTGGGGTCCCCAAAATGCTGGCACAGGCTGCTGGGCTTCAGGTCTGTTATCATGCTGAGCAAAGAGGTGACTTAAGCTAGGGGACACGGCAGGGGAGTCTCCCTGCACCCCCAGACTCGCTCAGAAAACAGCTTGGGAAGAGAGAAACAGAGGGGGAAAGCCAGCATTTTGAGCGTGGGATGGTTTGGGGGTTGTGGAGTGCTCTCCCAGGAGCACCCCCAGCTTCCTGCACAGCCCGGGCACCTCAGGACTGGGCTCCACCAGCGGTGGAGACTAGCAGCACTCACCCCACATGGCTCCCTTGGCTGCCCCAGCTACGGGTCAGGGGACAGAGGGAGCCAGGGCACCCTTTAGGCAACTCCCGGGGCCAGCTGGAAGCAGGAGGTGAGCACCCAGGCAGAGCAGTGATGCTCCAGCTCATTTTGCTGCAAGGCTGGGAGAGCCGAAGCTCTGGGTGACACCGGGTGCCGGAGCTGCCCCGCAGCAGGTTAAACCTCAGCACTTGCCACAAGAGAAGAACCAATGCTTGACCCTGCACAACCTGGCATGAATTTCTCATCCTGCAGTATTTCTACACACACCACACCCGAACTGAGCCTGAGCAAGGGAGGGAGGCGATGGCCAAATGCCCTCCGGCACCGCAGAGCTGGAGAGAGGTTGTTTTTAAGGGGTGTGTTTTCTGTCCACCTCCCTCTCACCAGTCAGAGGGACGCCCAGCAGCACAGGGACAGGGCTCCTGTTTCCGTGTGGCTGGTGTGGGGATGGACTGTGGCTTCCAGGACGGACCGAGCAGCCGATCCAAACCGTTTTCCAGGCTTTGCACCTCATTTCTACACTAGGGCCCACCAAGGAACGGGGCAGAGCATACGCAACACTCTACAGAAGCCTCCAGGGGAGACATCATCTTCTCACAGCAACCTGTCCCACTACCTCGGGCTGGACAGAGAGAACAGCACCCAAAAATCCTCACCCAGCACCCATTCGGAGGGCAGAGAGGGAACCACGGGCAGAGACAGCTTGTGTTGTGTCCCCGAGAGGCTCATGCCTGTCCTCCAGCCTGCCCACCTCCTGGCAGAGGGGACAGGGCTTGGAGAAGGCTCCTCAGCAGCTGCAAGGCTGAAAGAGCATTTGCAGGAGAGCTGGCATCGCCAGTCACGTACAGGGCTCCCCTAAAGCAGCAAGTCCAGCCCCCAGACAAGGTTAAAATGCAGTTCTACTCTGAAAACATACCCTAGATCCCCTGGCACCTCAAAACCAGCAGGAGGGGTGGTGTCCGTACCGGTAGGGACCATCCAGCCTGGAGCCAGGTGGTTGATGCATCACTCAGGGGGGAGACCAGCTCCCTTCCTGTGTCACCACCACCGCGCAGCCTGGCTGGAGAGGAAGCAGCAGAGGAGACAAGACAGAGGTGACTGCAGACTGGGCCACACGGGGCTGTTCTTAGGAGAAAAGGCCATTTTCTTAGTAGAACAACACTTTAACCTGTGCGCTGGTGGGCCGGGTGACACCAAGCCACACCATCAGCTGCAGCTGGGGTCTGTCACTACACACACCCTATGGCTACCGAAAGCAGGGCCCCAAACCCAGGAGAGGGCTATTGCAAATCAACCTGCAGCCCAGCAGCCCTCCCGCAGCCAGGAGAGCTGGCTCAGAAGGGAAACCCAACACCACACGCCCAAGCTCCGCTCCTCACGCAAGCGCCACCCAAGAAATAATCCACTCCGGCATCCCCAGCGAGCGCGTGTCTCCCTCCAGACGCAGGCTGAGTCAGCACAGCAGGACGGAGGGGAAAGCCCTCTTCCCCGAGCTGAGGACACTTCAGGGGTGGCCAGGCACTGACTGAAGTCCCATCAGCTCCGGGGACGGACACGCTTGGCCGCTGCCCCCACAGCCCGGGCGTCCCCAGCTGCTGGGGGATGCTTCCCCGCCAGCCAGGCTTTGGTTTGCAGATGGAGAAAGGCAGCTTCCCGTTTGGATTCATCATCTGGGTTTGCTAAGAGCACAGCTGAGGAGGAGAGGCAGCTCGGAGACGCCTGGGGGGGCCGGGGCAGCCTCTCCCCCCCTCCCATCCCTTGGCAAGCTCAGGCCCGGCTGTGGAATCGCATCCTGTAGAGGCGTTCCCGGACGTACTGCTCGCTGTCCACCGCCACCTGGCTCAGCCAGATCACCCTGCTCTCAGAGACGTCCTCCTTCAGCTTCCGCTTCATCAGGGACACCGGCCCCGGCTCCTCGCCGGGCTGAGGCCCCCGCAGCAGCACGTAGCAGGCGTGGCGGCTGCGCTCGAACAGCGCGGCTGGAAGGCAGAGCAGGGGGAAAGGCTCAGCTTGAGGTCTCTGACCAGACCCACCACCACACACCCCCACGGAGCCCAGGAGGTACCACCAGGGCAGTGTCCTCCTGCACCTCCTTGCTGGACGGCTGGAATTTACTGGATTTCACTGAGTTTTTAGAGTTGGAAGGGACCATAGAGATCATCTAGTCCAACTCCCTGCCAAAGCAGGACCACCCAGAGCTTGTCAGAGCATGTTACTCAGGAGCATCCAGGCAGGTCTTGAAAATCTCCAAAGAAGGGGACTCCACACCCTCCCTGGGCAGCCTCTTCCAGGGCTCCGCCATCCTCACCGTGAAAAAGTTCTTCCTCATATTCAAGTGGAACCTTTTATGGTCCAACTTGTGCCCATTGCCCCTTGTCCTCTCACTGGCAACTACTGAAAAGAGGAAGGAGAAGACTTACCATTGAATGCAACTATTTGGTCTGTGCTATTGCGGAGCTCCAACAGGACGTTAGTGTAGGAAGGATGGAAAAGATACAGCTTCTGGAGAGGAGCTCTGGGTCTCTGCAACCAACAGCACACTATCAGGACACAGCCCCACGCGTTAGCTCAGAGAAAACACCAGCACCAGGCTCAGCTGTTCCTCATGCTCGACAGAATACATCCAGTCAGATACTCGTCCCTGTCTGCCCAACTCATCCTGTCTGAAGCCACCAGCACTGAGCGCTGGGATTCTGCTTACTGCTCGGTGCTCTCCTCCCCACCCCAAGCTTCCTGCAAACAGCAGGCCTGGCTGCCAGGAGCAGGAGACAGATTTTTGCCTTAGGGCTGGTAGAGTCAGGGAGGAAAGCACAGGAAGCTCAGCTGGAGCTCGGGCATCCTCCAGGACACAACCTGTCACTAATGCTGCCAGCACTGCCCCAGAGGGCTCCGTTACACAGCTGAGCTGCACATCCAGGCTGCCAGAGGCCACCTTGGCCCAGAGAGAGGATGTTCACGTGGCCACGGGACATCACGGCGTGCAGTAGCCCCACGGGAGGAGGCTCCAGGCCAAACAGCAGCAACTTCAGAGGTACCCAGCCAGCAGCCCTTCACCTCACCTCCAGTACCACACCCAGGGCTCTGGACAACCCAGTGACTTTCTTCCCAGAGCCACTAAATCCCTTTTTTCTTTACGTAACCAGGCTGAGGATGACAAAAGCTGTCGTTGCCACCACCAGCTGCAAGCAGGGGCGTTGCAAGGACACCGACCACGCACAGAGGTCTGCCTGCTTCTAGCAGACCCCACACTCAGCGCAGGAGGCTGTGGCACAGGCAGAGGTGACTGCGCACGCTGGGGAAAGGGGGAAGCTCCACCCAATTCTGGTCCACCCAAAGTCTGGAGAAGAGCAAGCACTCAGCAGCACCGCTCACCGTTTCGTTTCCTGCCACCTGGAATTCGCCCCAGATGAGGAAGGCGGAGCGGTGATCAGCGGTAGAAAGCATGGCTGGCCCAGGGCTCTCCGCTCTCCAGTTCAGCTTCAGGTCCCACTGGACTGCTCCGGATCTGCTCTCAACAATCATCACCTAGCAGGGAAGAAAGAAAAGGAACTCCTACCAAAGAGCTCTAACAAGCTGTGAGAGAGGAGTCAAGTCAGCTGCCTCTACCCCACGCTGTCTGCGGGATCTGACACGGGGGAAGATGAGGAAATATTTGAAGCTGAGCATCACAGAGCTGTGAGACCTTGGGCAGGCCACATTAAAGTCCCAAGTTTTGCAGCTATTTCAAGGGGTTCAAAGCTTCTGTCACTGAAGCCTCTTGCTGAGAAGAGAATTAAAGTGCCTGAGCTGGCTTCAGTAACCTGTTGAAAGAGATCCTTTCCCAGCCTAAGCCTTCCTGAAATCAGCCGGAGGGAACGCTCCCCACCAGCTGCCCTTGACTCAGTGCCTGCTTGAGGTGAGACACGCAGAGAAAAGGGAAGTTAAAGGGAAGAGCCTTCAAACCTTCTTTCTGTCGGGTCCAATTTCGCTCTCAAGGACAATGCCAAGAACATCAGGTTTGTAGTATCCAAGCAGAGGCTCACTAAGGGAGAGAAAGAGAACGGAGAGGTCAGAACACCCCCCGACGGCTTGGGCACACCTTGTTCTCTCAGAGCAGCCTCTCTCCTGGTAAGAGACCCAAGTGCTGTGTTATTTTACCCCAGTACCACTCCCAGCTCTGAGCCCGGGCACAGAATGAAGAATCAAAGCTTTGGGGTCCTCGGCTTTTGAAGTGGCAGCTGACATTTGCTGTCAGACACATAACACAATAACCACGATTCAGATACGATCACGGAGCAGGGTTTTCTCTCTCAAATGAGTTTAAAAAAACAGCATCTCCCAGGAACACTGGGAGCCTGGAAATGCCTCATCCAGCCCACGTCGGTGATGTTACCTCACAACACGGGAAACATTGAGGGTCCACAAAGTCTGAAGATTTTGCGTGTTGATCAGCGTGGCCATCTCCGAGTTTACAACCAAGATGTTCTCTCGTGACTGCCCAGGAATTTTTACCAGGTAATGAATGTCTCTGGAGCTGAACAAGGACAGAGAAATGATTACACTTTCTAGACCACAGATGGTTTTATTGTGGATTTTTTTTTCCCCTGTACAGTAAATGCAAATAGGAAACCCCAGCCTGCTTTCCCTCCTTTCCTGTGAAACCCTGACCAGGCCATCACCACCAGCCCTCTCCCCGAGCTTTGGATGTGCTCCTAGTCCAAAAGCCATGTAGCCAGGGAAAGAACAAAGCCATAACAGGATGTTCCCTGGCAGGAACACCAGCAACCAAGGCATACTAACAGGCCACCCTGGCAGGAACACCAGCAACCAAGGCATAATCTCACACCTGAGAAGGGATAAGTGGTGCGTGGTGCGGTCAATGTTCTTCTCCCACTGAGGATCTTGCTCAAGGCCGGGAAGCTTAATCTCCATCCCAGTTGCCGCACTGTAGAGATCTTTCAGGGAATATGCATAGAGAGAGTTTTCTGTGCAAAAAAAAAAAAAGCAAGAATGAGGGAGATAAGTTACCCTGCCCTTGCTCTGAACTCTACAATTTTCCAGATCTGGCAGACGAACTATATTTTTAGGGCTTGCATCAGAGAGTTGTAGTGGTACTTTGAGTCTCAAGCCTGCTTTTGAATGCTTTTAACATCTTATCCGTTCATAATCCAAGTGTTCCACAGTAATCATTTGCTATAAATGACTACGTAAACCTTACATTCTCAACGTTTTTCAAATAAAATTACTACAGCACGTAACAAACCTCAGTATAAGCAGAAGCCCTCCCTTCTCTTGGCCTTGAATAGCTCTTTCGTTAGGTGAAAGCACAACACAGCTTTTAAGAATGCAGAACAGCCTTTCAGACAACTGTTCAGTAATCCTGATTTCACAGTTATAAGCACTCTTTCAGACTGAGCTCACAAACAGAACCGTACCTGTATAGAAAAGGAAGTAGGAGGAGGAGCCCAGGTTCAGCCTGATATAACGAGCTTTCCCATCCACGTCCAGGCTGCCAGCGGAGCCGATCTGATTGCCATTTTTTCCTGAATGGATGAAGGTCTTAATCTACGCAGGGAAGGGATTAAAAGAAAAAAAAAAAAGGTTAATGCTGCTTCGTATTGTTGCTGCTCCAACTCGTGTGTTTTCCAAAGCTTCTGAGCAGCTGGGACTGACCAGCAGCTGAATGGGAAGAGCAAAGGCTGGGGTGAAAAGTCTCTCCCTGGTTTTGGAGGGGTGGGTAGGAGTCAGACCATCCCTCTGCTGCGAACACTTTTGCAAGTTTGAGAACCACTTCCAGCACAGCCACCGGCCCTGAGATTTTCCTGTCTCAGCCACCACCTCCCCTGCAGGCTGGGACTGCCAGACAGCATGACCCAGCCCTGCTAAGGACAGCGAAGATCGATTCAAGCCTCCTGAGCAGTGACATTGATGGGGAAGTCCTAAAGGCAGAAGGAAAGCAGCTCATGAACACAGAGGAAACTTGGCTTCACACAGAAGCTCTGCTAAATACTTTAAGTGCCCTAATCTACTCTTCCTAAGGCTGACACGGGTCCAAGGGGATAAAAGAGCTGACAGGTTTCTTTATGTATTTTGTGCAGGGTAACAGAATCCACTGAAAACATTTCACCCAGGAGAATAAAGGCTAAAATCAAGATCCGATTCAAACGTCTGGGCAACAGTCATGGTCTGGGGAGAGCAATGCACACCAGGGAATAGAGAAACATCAGACTGAGAGAAACAGCATCGATCAGAGATGCTGAGTCAGGCAGGAACCCTTCCCTCTTCCCTGAGAGGGAGAGCCTGGGAAACAGAAGGAAATCTGCTGCTCTCAAAGTGAATCTGGAGAGTCTGGCAGGTGAATAAAGGGTGGAATTTGCCAGGGAGAACGAAGAACACAGCTGGAGAGGGAGAGCAACTTGTCCACCAGCTGTTCCCAGCCTCCCGCACTGGGAGGAGACACAAACCAGCTCTTGGGGATCAACTTCACCTTTCCTCACAGGCACTGGTTCAGCAGCCGCCCCGGGACAGAAACAGCCACCCACCCCCTTACTCACTGCACTGCTTCATAGCTCTGTGCACTGCTGCGGGCGATACATCCTGAAAAACCTCATGTTTTCCCAGATGTGTTTGTGCTGAGGCTTGCAGCAGGTAGGGCTCAATAAGAACCTCAGAAAAAGCTGCCACCTAAACCCCCTGCACAGAGACCCTTCCCCATGGACGGCTCAAAGCTCTGCCATTCCAGGAAACAGTGGTATAACATGACGTTTAACTTCAGCACCTCGTTAGCTACAAAGCTAATTTAGTGGAGTTCTGAATCTCCTTCCGAGGAGACTGCCTTTTTCCAGGCTGCAGAGCTCCCCTCAAGCTCCCTACATTTTGCGTGATTTCTCAAAAAAAGAACGTGCTTTTACTTAAGCTGACAGAGTGCTTGCCAAGTCCGGAGGGAGGAAGGGATTTCATACCAAGATAGCTAGAGAGGTTAAATGGAAAACAAATCAAAAGGCAGCCTTGCAGAACAGAGACTACATTCAAACATTTCTTGGCCGCCTAAGATTTTAAAAAAAAAAAAAAAAAAAAAGTCTTGAGATAACTGGGATAGCAAAAGCAGGGAGGAAAGAAAATAGAAGAGAAACGTAGGAGTTGGAGAGGATAGAATTTCTGACAACAACAAAGCAAAACCCTATTTGCTTATGGAGTGCTCTGGTACAAGGGTGACACAGAGCTCCCACTCCTCCCATCAGACTTGTGGGGAGCCCTGACCTCTGTGTGCTTTGAAGAGGACAGACTGCACATGCAGATAATGCTCACCACATGGGTGCAGGTTTTTTGTATAAAACCAGTTTTAGCTCCATGCCTTTCCCCTTCTAAGAAACGGCAGCTGTTTCACTAAATGAACCCAAGTCAGAATCCAGCAGGGCAGTGGCACTGGGGAGAGAGCCCTGCAAAGCAGCCCACAGGCAGAGAGACGAAAGGTATCAGGAAAAGGCAGGAGCAGTACGAAAGCCCTAGCTGTCAGCTGTGCTCTGATCTAAGAGCCAAACCTGTCAGGGTTTGTTCGCTTCCACTCCTCCGAGCAGAGTCCCAAAAAACTGCAAGCTCACCTCGCCCAGGCTCCCTCCATGCACAGCCCAGGAACAGGCAGTGAGGAGCCCAGACTGAAAAGGGGGAGGGATTCCTGGCCAGCTTTTTTCATATATATTTTCTTTTTTTAAACACTTGCATTGATTTGGGAGTACATCCCAGTTTTGAAAGAATCTACCCCAAACCCACAGATATCTGGACACTTCCTCTTTGAATAAAGAACATTCCTGCCCTGCCCCACGGTCTGGCCACTGGGTTTGTCACAGCTTTGGGGTGACATACCTTATCTCCTGTAGAAATAAAGATCATCAGGTCCTGAACTCCGTCACTGTCCACATCTGGAATCACTGCCACGGGAGTCAGCACGGTATAATTAGCTCCAAAGTCACTGGACTGTCTCCACCGAACCTCCCCTAGAAGACAGAGTTTTTGGGAAACATTGAGTAAAAGGCACTTTAGGTTGAAAGGCTTTTAATGCCCCTGCTCCTCGAAGCACTTTGCAGTCGCCAGCCTTTCCAGCCCATCAGCACCACAAGCTCATCACGGGGTACTTTACTGCATTTAAAATGAATTGAATATCCACAATTTCAACTTGTGTTGGAAAGTAATTCTAACCGCCTGCACAAATGCACCCAAACTTCCCAGGCACAAACAACAGCTTGCTTTTCTCCTGCCCTAGGTTAACAACCTTCCCAGCGCGTTCATGACATGGAGAATCCTTTTTTTTGTGATCTAAAAACCTTGCTGCTCTGTACTTAAACCTGCACGGACCTTCTAAGATCATAAAGCAGCTGAATTCTGACTGCAGAGTTGCAGCGACCCCCAACAAAACCTTTTCTGCTGCAACTTGCCTCCTGCAGATGTTCCACCCTGATGAGACTGGCCACAACTCAGTTCACATCCCACCTCTGCCTTGTTTGAAGCACACACACAGGGCTTGCAAACTCGTTTGCAAATAGAGGTAGAAAAGCTTTGTTTTTTTAAAAATTGGTATGTGTGTGGGGTGAGTTTTCTCTTCAACAGCTCCAGGCCCGCAGAGTGGCTCTGCTCCACTCTGCCCAGGGCTGCTGGCCACTTCCCAGTCACCCTCCAGTGGAATTTGCAGTGGAATTCGGTTGGGGGGAGGGAAGGGGGCGACAGACGGCTGGGGGAGACTCTTTTTAAGGAAGACTTAAGTGACTTAACTAGGTGCTCAGAGGGGAAATGCTTACCCTCCCCTTTAAACAGTATCAGGGACAGCAATTATCATTTCAGGAATGCAAAGTAATCATCTGTTCTTTGTCAAAGAGGCAGCTGGACCAAGGAATGACTACCTGAGCTGTCTGCCATAATTTAAGGCAGGCTGTATTTCCAGTAGGATCCCTCCAAAGCTTTTACTGAAACACTGAAAAAAAATATACTTGGATTTGTTACTATGACAACAGATGTGAAGTAGAAGAGTGCCCTTAGAAAATCATGGGAAGGCAAAGAATTTTACCCCCGAAGAAAACAAGCAGCCAAAGGAAGGAGAGAACTTAAGTTTTAATTAACTATATCCTGGCTTCAGCACTGTCCAAAGCTACAACAGGCTGATAAAATTCGTATTTTGGTGCATAAGGCTCTATTTTTTGCTGTTTGGACAGTGGATATAGTTTTGGAGGAAGCATCTTACTCTCTTAAAAGAGCAATCTGGCTTAACAGAAACAGGTAACAGTGAGACAGATTCAGCACAAAGGACCTGAGAAGCTTGCATGCTCCAACACAACACCCAGGGAGCATGAACTGTGAATCCAGTCCCATCCTGCTCCATCAACGGGAGACAGGACTATCCTGTCTGACATCTAGAGTGCTGCGCTGCTTCCTCAGGGCTCGAGGTCACGGCAGAAGCACGGCAACCGAAGCCAGGATGGAAATTAGACAAGTGCCTGGACAGCAAATCTAACCTGGGTGAAAGGGCTGGGGTTTTTTTTTTTGGTCCGGAAGGAATAATAAAATTAGGATTTAGATGACTGACTGCAAGCAGCAGCAGAGGACACAAAGCAGGATTGCTGGCTTCAGGCTGGATGAGGTCCAGACACACATCCAGAGACTGCTCTCCATTCTGCAGCTCCCAAACAATCTGAGCTAAAGGCAGGTCTTTTCTACCCAGCAGTGCTAGACCCCTCTCCCATGCCCTTGCCCGCTTGTTTACTAAACACTTGTAAGCTCCTGGCATCCACCAGACAGTGGATGTGAAGAAGTAACCTCTTTTGCTTTGTCTGAACCTATCACTTGGTAAAAAGAACCATGGAGCAATGAAGAACTGCGACAGGAAACCACCATTCCCTGTTCTTCTACTTATCACTCATCATTTTATAGACTCATCTCTCCCTGTTGCACATTCTCCAGGCTGGAATTCTGGTTTATTTAGTGATTTCTTGCACAGAAGCAATTTCATACATCCGATCATCGTGATCCCCTTTCTGCCATATCCCTTAGGAAACCAGAACTGCTCACGGGGCTCTCAGCACAGGCTGCTGGAGGATAAGGAGAAAGGAGAAAAGAAAAGGTGTAACAAAATGCTTATTCCTTCTTCCTCTGGACTCAGCTTCTGGCCCTGGCAGAGATGGAATATGAAGCTACAGACTTTTGCTTTGACCTGGAACAGCTAATCTTAAGCTCTTGTGTCCCAGTTTGCTTGTAAAATAAGCATGCAGGAATGTCAGCTCTCCCGAAACAGAAGCACACAATCCTACACTTCCCTTCTCGTTTGCTCAGGTCACTTATTCCAGCAATGAAGAAAGCAAGACTTAACACAACTCAAATTGATAGAAAAACACTAACTTTACCAGCGTTTAAAGATCAAAACCACATCAGACACCGTCAGAAGATAATCTGTCTATCTCTCCTTCAATCTTCCTACAGGCAGGGGCCAGGCAGCCCCACAGCCCTGGAATCTGGCCAATCCTCCACCACCACGAATCATTAACAGCTAAAGATTGCTCCGACTACTGTTTTTAGCACAATGTGATGTAAGTCAGGCTTTGCCACATTAAATACATGTGGCCTATTTAAATACGGTTTATTCTGATCTACCCTTCTAACCCCCAGTAAAAGTCAACTCCACTAAGAAACCCCTTTTAACCTACTTAATCGCAAAAAGGTACCAAAATATGTCAGCTCCTGGGTTATTCACTTTTCTGTCTGAAGTAATTTTTCATCCAGTGGTTTTATTTTATCTATGGAATGTTTCCGTTTCGTATAGTTGCCGTGACCTATGGCTTAGCCTGGTTCCTTCTCTCCACGCTTGTGCCATGTCTTTATGCCTGTCTTCAGTTACACGCCTTTGGCTCAGCAGCCACTCTTCTACACTTTGTCCTAAAAGCAACAACTTCATTAGCACCTATAAATATCCTGCACTAAAGCCTATTGATGAGGGAAACGGTGATAAGGCATCTCAGTCAGTACAGAAGTGTTCCTGCTTTGTGTGTCTCCCCACTTCCATCTACATTGGAAATTAAAAGTTACACTAGATTTTTCTCAGATTCCTTAGAGCTATACCTCTTGCTATTTCTCTCTCCCAGTTTCTGGAAAACAGGGTGTGAGGGGTTTGATACCAGAGGATGGGATCCTAGGCATGTTTCCAAGGGAGAACACGCACTGTTTAGAGCCTTTAAAAAAATCCAATGGGATCCGTTTTGGGGATGCGATACCAGAGGATCTTAGGCATGTTTCCAAGGGAGAACACGCACTGTTTAGAGCCTTTAAAAAAATCCAATGGGATCCGTTTTGGGGATGGATGGAAATGTTTTTCCATTCAATGGGATGGAATGGAAATGTTTTTCAGGCTTCATCAGCAAGGAAGGTTCAAGGTGCAATAGATGGTCGCTGCCCTGTTCCCAGAGCAGGCACCCTTTACCCACGCCCCTTGTTAGCAAGATGGTGATGAATTTCTCCATCTCTAGGTTCAGAAATGAAGATGGCTTTCCAGAGGGGCCAGGCAAAATCCTGCACTACTGAAACTGGTAAGTACTTATCCTAAGTGTTCTCCTGGATGACTTTAAAATCAGAAATGCCTACAACTCCTGCTCCTCTTGCTGCTGCAGGCACTCCTAGCACTCACAGGCAAACGACTGAGAAATATTCCAGGTCTGTGTCCAGCCCCTGAGAGTATAAAGTAACGTTCACAGCTAGTGACTGCTTCTCCTGTTCCAGAAGCTGTTGACAAGTTGTTCCTCTAATACAGTGGCAAGTTTTCAAGACAATAAATACGCTGTGCCTGCTGTTCATGTACCAGCAAGTCATGTCACGCTGATGTCCCCAGCCTCTGAGGTCACCAGGTGAGAAAGGCGAGCAGCACTGTCCCCTGTATAGCAGCAGGACTCTGCTCCACACTCACCTGTCAGCAGCACCATCCCCTGTATGGCAGCAGGACTCTGCTCCACACTCACCTGTCTGTAGGTCAACTGCTGTCAGAGACACGGGCTTCCCCACCAGCAGGCACCCCGGGGCCTCAGTCCCCCCCAGCTGCTCGATGCCACACTCCATCCACTCCACCTCCTCAGCAGCAGGCCTCTCCCACAGCGCTCCGCCGTTCCTGCCAGACACGGCCGCAACGAAGGCACAGGGAGAAGGCAGACCTGAAGAGAATCACAGAGTGCTTTGGGTTGGAAGGGACCTTAAAGATGATCTAGTTCCACCCCCCCTGCCCTGGGCAGGAACACCTCCCACTAGACCAGGTGGACATCACAGGGAACGGTACCTACACCCACTTTTGCTGCCCCACAGCTGGGACTCACCCAGTTTCTCTCCCCACCCAGCCAACCTGGTTTTATCTCCCAGAGCCAACACAGCCTCACTAATTGGAACTAAAAGAGAAATATCATCCCTTTTACTGCAAGTTTTTCTCTTTCTCCATCAGCTACCTTCATCCAAGCAGGTTCTGTTGGAGCTGCTGCTGCCGTTGCTGGCTTTGAAAGCAAAGAGGACATCTTGCACTTTGTCTTGGTTCACATCTTCTATAGCAAGAAACGGGTAGGCCACTGTAAAAGAGATGACTGGTGAGGATCACCTCACCCAGCACCAGAGCTGGCTGGAGCAAACCACAAATTCCTAGAGACCTACTCACTGCCTCTCTCCCTGACAGTGTAACTTCAGGACAAATTGGCTTTTGTATTTAAAAAAAAAGCCCATCTACATGAGTACCGAGGACTGGAAGTTAGTGCCAAAGGATTTTTTAAATTTGCCATCCCCCAGAGGATTTGTCTTTTTTTAAATCCAAGCAGCCAGAATTCTAACTATGTTGAACAAAGAACAACTCTGGTCTTGGTGTGAGCTTGCTATTCCCAAAATCTTAAAAAAAACCCAACAAACAAACTGCACAATTTTCGTCTTTCTCACTCTCAGCTAAAAGCAGCCTCCTTCAGGTGGGAGCAGCAGAACCTGGGATTTCTGCATTAACACACAAAGCCCAGGTCCCCTCAGCGAGCACTATCTCTGCGTTTCTAGCACCAGCAACACACACTCACTGCACAGGAGAATAAAGAAAAGCTTTCACACAAATGCTGAGCCACCAGGGAGCAGTACCCAGGCTAAAGAGTCGACCAAAGCAACTATAAATTTGTGCAATTTAGAAAAAACAAACAAGATGCCATTCCTCTTCTCCCTTTCCAGATAGTCAGGGAGAAAAGTCAGCTGAGGAAGAAGAAAAGTTTACATAGGGAGAATGCCTAATCGTCCCCAAACCTCAGCTCAAACTTCAAGAGAACATTTTACAGCCCAAACTTCAGCACAGCTTTATTCCCAGATACCTCTTCCCCATTTTATTTTCCCCCAAATGAAGCCAGCCTGCTACCTCATTAGCGCTTTAGAGCAGGATCTAATTTCTCCATTAGTTCCTGTAAACACCTCCTGGAAGGCCACTCCAATTATGACAGGCCACTGCTTATCCAGGTCAGGTATTCACAGCTCTGGCTCCCAAGGGCAGCATCCCTGTGGACCTCCTGGCTCCGGATCGCGCTTAGGTGGAGGTCCACAATTCAAATCCCTGGCACGTAAAGGAGAAGGACCGTTGGCAAGTATTTATTCTGCTCCAGCAAGCTCACCTGCGTTGTCGTAGTTTCGGAACCATGTTCTTTCTGAAACTGGCCTCTCCGGGCAAGGAATGATAAAGGAGAAAGCAAACACAATTATCAGACAGAGAAACAAGGAGACAAAGAAGGCGGCCGTGCGCCAGCGGGACAGCCGAGACAGTCGCGATGACTGCTTGCTGATAATTCTCCTCTCCACAGAGTTTTCATGGTTCTCCTGAACTTTCACGTCCTCAGTCTTCAGTGGGTGGATCTCAGCTTCCGAGTCTTTGTTATCCATCGCGGCTCATTCGTCAGCATTCAGACGCCCTTCTTCCCTCTCACCTGCAACAAAGGAAAGAAGAGTTAAAACAGATTTCAGAGTACATAAAAAAAAAACCCAACAAAATATTCTGTTACTACCTGATATTCACATTGGAAACATTTAACGGGAGGTGAGCAAATCAGTGCATTGTCAGTTGGATACAACGCACCGTTGGTACCGGAGGTCTCCCACGTGGAGTGATGGGGAGAGACCGTGGGATGCAGGAACAGCACTAGTTCTTCTTCTTCAGAGGAGGAAATTGGCTCTGCTAGACCCAGACAAAGGCAGCTACAGCCTCTACACTGAATGAACTGACTGGTTTGTAGGTCTCCCTTGCAAAAAAAAAACACACCAAAAGCCTGTTTTTGCTGCAAAGACTTCTTGCCACCTCCTGTGTATGTCAGTCTGGCTCCCAGATGGAGAGGTGAAAGGAAACGCTCCTGACCTTTATATCCCAAGGTAAGGCTGTTCCCTGCTGTAATGAGCACCTGAGCTCGCCCAGGAGAGGGAGAGAGAAACAAACACCAGCATATTCTGCATAGGAACAAACCAGAGCAATTCTACACCTTCTCAGATGAGAAACCACTTGATAAGTTTAGCAACCCAGCCCTACAGGAAGCAAGAGAGCGATTCATTTCCCCCCCAGAGGAAAAAGAAGGCACGAGTTGAGACAAAAATCGGGCAAATTTGACTTCATCAGCATGGAAGAAGAGCTAACAATTGCTATTTTACTTTTTCCTGCTATAAATCACCATCTTGAGCCACAGCCACAGTAACAGAGGGGTTCTGTGCTAATTTGTTATAAAAAGGGGGGAAAAAAAAAAAGAAAAAAGCCCTAGTTGGTTACAGAAGCCTGTAACTCATTATCCACAAGAAAAAGTTAATGTTATATATAGTTCCTCTGGTAGTGCTTCTTTAAAAAAATAGCGGAAGGGAAGAAATAAAGAATAACACATTCCAGTAGCCTTGGAAAAAGCTGCATGACAGTGTCATAAAAAGTTATATCAGAGCAAATAAACATGACAACCCAGCCAATTTTCCATGACCGTGGCCCGGCAGTCATGTGCCTGGATTGTCCACTGGAGCAATTTACCTCCCCAGCAGAAAATAGCTTAAACTCAGCAGCAGCAGCACAACGCAGAGCTCGGGCGTTCAACCCCAACGCCAACAGGGCTCGTTACGTCTCACGGTTCGTGCCCAAATTCGTTTACAGGTTCAAGGAAACCCAAGAGGAGAGTAACCCTCAGGAGGTCCAGGCTCCTCCAGGCAGCTGTGGCTCAACAAGGTGGGGGGGGTCTCACCTCCCCAGGTTGTCCCCATCCCACCGCAGGGCGAGCTGTGGAGGTCTCTTCTCTTCTGGGTACAAGTCGCAGGGGGAAGAGACCTAGGGCAAGGTAGGGGTTGAGTGGGACAAACTGGCACACTGCTGCCAACCCCCCAGTTAACCTCAGTGCCTGCTGGACTTATAAGGCTGGAGTTACGGAGCTCTTACTCCAACCCCAGCCCCCTGGCATTTATTCTCCAGCAGCACATCGAGTACAAGATCTCGCTCCAGACAATTTAATTCGAGCCGCACGATACCGTGCTAACGCCATTAGATCAATAATGGAGAAGCTGTTATCTTACTCCCAAGATCTGACTCCAAAGACCTCATCTGCCCTTTGCATCGGTTTAATGGCAACACCAGAGGCACCTCCTCGAGGCCGGCTGTTTCCAGACCAACGGCAGGCACCTGACAAGGGTAGAAAGGCTCCAGATGGAAAGGGGAAGATAAGTAAGTCCTCCCCCCCGGCCCAGCCATTGCGCTGAGGAGCCCAGCACCCCACCTCCAGCAGGTTCAAGGTACAAGGCTCCAGGCAGAGGCTGAGCAAATGATTCACCGGAGCAGAGCAACTGCTGCCGCAGCAAAAGGGGGATGGCAGCAGGAATGGGTTACGCAGCCTCCCTTGGGACTCTTCAGTCTGGAGAAGAGAAGGCTGAGGGGAGACCTTATCAATGCCTACAAGTATCTCAAGGGAGGGTTGAAGGAGGAGGGAGCCAGACTCTTTTCAGTGGTTCCCAGTGAGAGGACGAGGGGCAACGGGCACAAGTTGGAACATAAGAGGTTCCACTTGAATATGAGGAGAAACTTCTTCACAGTGAGGGTGACAGAGCCCTGGAACAGGCTGCCCAGGGAGGGTGTGGAGTCCCCTTCTTTGGAGATTTTCAAGACCCACCTGGATGCTCCTGAGTAACATGCTCTGACAAGCTCTGGGTGGTCCTGCTTCAGCAGGGGAGTTGGACTAGATGATCTCTATGGTCCCTTCCAACTCTAAAATTCAGTGAAATTCAGTGAAATTCAGAGGCAGATGGCTCATGTGTCTCTGCTGTGTCCATCTCCGGTGGCAGCGAGAGGTGGATCTTCTCAAACAACTGCGAGAGGGCTCCATTATAACCCCACCAGCATCATCTCCAACTGAGCCCCCTGTGCAAAGCCAGGAAATCTCCACCTATGAGACTTCCCAAGAAGGACCAAACCCAGGCTTCTCCCCCCAAAGCCCAAAAGGGCCACCATCTCAAGGCTGTATGGAAGGCGTATTTTTATGAGTCACTTGAAATCACACCACTGTCATCTAGACCGGGATGAGAACAATAAAAAAAAAAAGCCATAATTATCCTGACATCCCCAGCAATTCCCCTTCTTTTGCAGCAACGACCCTGGGAGCCACCAATTACAAAGAGCCCTCGATGCCATTACAGCAATTCTTTCTCTTTTCTTTCGGGGTTTGAATAGTGCCCTTTGCACCCCTGCCAGAGCCGAGGCAGAGCCAGAACAGCGACCACAAAGGTCACGGGCAAAGACTCCAACAATGCAGGAAATCCCATCGCCTGCAGTTGCCAAAGTACATGCTGGCAACGTGTGAAACGGTCTGAGCTCCAAACAACAAAGAAGTCAGGTAATCAGTTTAATTGAAGACAAGCAGAAAATGATAGTGTGCCTTGCAGATGATTTTACCGTCCTCTAGCAGCCGGCAGTTTGTCTCCTGCTGGGAGGGGACACAAAATAATTCCCTGGGAGGTTTAATGCATCCAGGCACCTCGCAAGGAAACAGGCAGCGACAGGATCCTGAGCTGATGCATTATTAACAGGGGCTGCACGCATCAGATCTCGTAGTCAGAACTGGCTCTCTGGGTGGGGATGGTAGGCCTCACCAGGAGAAAAGGTGGGAGAAAGACTTCACAGAAGAGGAAATAATCAGAAACTACTCGCAACAGACCTGAACTGGACCCACAGAGCCCAGGGAGTGCTGAAGCACAGCCAGGATCTGCATCTCATACACTTCCATCGCTCCCCGAGCTCTAAAGATCACTTACCCCCAAGCAGCAAGACAAGAGAGGAGCGGTCCCCGAGGAGCCAAGGAGGAACGAGCACCCTTTCCTGTCCCACAGCAGCAAACACACAGGGGCAAATGTGGGTCTTCAGCTTTCCTCACCTTCGTGGGGCACTGACTCTCCTCTTCTCCCGAAGCGACAGCGCAGATTTACAGATCTGATCTGAAGCAAACCAGTGAAACTTGTGCAGCCAGCGGTTAGCGCCAAGCCAGAGTTAAATCCGAGGGACAAACTATCATTACCAGTCAGCTAGAACTGCCTGACAAGCACAGAGAACCACATGCAGTCACATGTACGAGAACTGGTAACAAAAACCTTTCAAGTAGCAGTGCGATGGAAGGTTTAACTCATTTTCCAGCCATAAAACACCAAACCACAGCATCTGTAATCTCACCAGGCGCCAGTTCTTCCTGGAAAACTTCTAGCAATAAATCATAACTCAGATTTGATGTTTGACTTACTTGTATCTTTTACAGAATGATGAAATCGGACTTTGACCGGCCATTTCAGGAACTCAAACACAGCATTTGGGTGTTTGGGTTCTGTACTTCTTTGTTTTAAGCACCTCACAGCCTTCCTTCCTGTCAGCCAGAAACTGTCAAAGCCCCAAGCTGCAATCAATAGTGACAAAACAGCTTCCAAATTTTGCTCTGAGTTAAGATGCAACGTTTCCTTCAGGGTTGTCTCCCAGGAGGAGACGGTCGAGTTTTGATGGGATGTGTGGCAGGGCACTGCAGTGAATCCGTTGGGCAGCCACCTGCTGCAACACCAAGACATTAAGAGGTCATTTTTTCCCCTTTTCTGCACTCCCACCTACATATCAGGGTCCAGCCACCAGGCAGTAACACATCAGATCTCCCCCAAATGAGATTTTCCTCTCCAAATACACTCGCTTACACTTTTGCTGGATCACCTGCAGCTTGTAACTCTTCCTCGACACAGAGAGGCTGCCACGGGCTGGCTGCGCCGAGGACACCATCCCATCCGATGCCGGGGTAACCCCTGCTCTCACTCACATCCCTCCAGCCTTTGCAAGGACACAGGTTGCAACCCAGACCACACCAAAACGTGGAGACCCAGCTCAGAGAAACACCTGCATTCAGTGGCTACAGCCATCCTTTCCCCTCCCCTCCCGCTGGCTGTTCTGCCTCTGTTAACACAGGTCTCTTCAGAACACCGGGCACTTCTTAAATGACACTTTAGCTCTCCAGTGCAGACACAACACATGTCACAGAGCATTCACAGCAAGCAAGTCAGAAACTCCTTCAGAGCCCAACCAAGTGTCACCTTCGAATGCGATACATCTGTCATTTGTAGCAGAAAAGGCCTCTTTTCCAGAGCAGTTTTCGGAGAAACTCCTTCAGAACCCAACCAAGTGTCACCTTCAAATGCGATACATCTGTCATTTGTAGAAAAGGCCTCTTTTCCAGAGCAGTTTTCGCTAGTCAGGGGTTCAAGTTGAGAAACTGTTTAGCGAAGAACAAAAAGATGATCCAGTCCTTTTTTTCCAAGAGAGCGATGGGAAGAGCAAAACTCTCTCAGGAGAAGAACATCATTAAAGCTGTGTGGGACTGATTATAGGTTAGGGCAGTAATAAGCAGCAGGAACCCATGTCATCCATCATCCCAGACCTTGCAGTTTCGCTGGATCCAAGCCACTTGCCCTCACAGACACTAGTGGTTTGAATCTCTCGCGTCAGAGACATCCCCACCTCACCCACGGGGCTCCCCAGCTTGCGTCAGAAAGCACAGTGACTTCTCCTCACCCCAGACACTGCACACAACAGGGACTCTGGGGAGACCGTGGACCTGTTGGAACAGGTCCAGCGGAGGGCCACGAAGATGATCTGAGGGCTGGAGCACCTCTCCTATGAGGACAGGCTGAGGGAGCTGGGGTTGCTCAGCCTGGAGAAGAGAAGGCTCCAGGGAGACCTTAGAGCAGCCTTCCAGTACCTGAAGGGAGCTCCAGGAGAGCTGGGGAGGGACTCTTGGTCGGGAAGTGTAGTCACAGGACAAGGGGTAACGGTTTTAAATTGGAAGAGGGGAGATTTAGATTAAATACCAGAAAGAAATTCTTTACTGTGAGGGTGGTGAGACACTGGAACAGGTTGCCCCGAGAAGCTGTGGCTGCCCCATCCCTGGAGGGGCTCAAGGCCAGGCTGGATGGGGCTTTGAGCAACCTGGTCTGGTGGGAGGTGTCCCTGCCCAGGGGAGGGGGTTGGAACTTGATGATCTTTAAGGTCCCTTCCAACCCAAACCATTCTGTGATTCCACAATCTCAGTGCATGAAAACCCTGGGTCACTTCATGCAAATTTATTAAAAAGAAAGTATATTTTTTAAGCGGAGCACTTGTTCCACAGGTCGTAAACTCTCTGCTGCCCACTGGGTCCTTCCTGCACAGCCTGGTGAGGTTTATGGCAGCATGAAATAAAAGCCATTCTCCAGCCGCTGTTGTCCTTGTCAGCTGTCTCCAAGAGAAACCTCCTTCCTCCCCGCCCCTCAAAATGGAATTTTCCTTTCCCCCTTTTACACACACACACTCACAGAGGAAAGATCACTCCCAGGCCATTTCACCCAACAAATGACACCTCACGGAGCCTCTCGGCTTCCAGCCTCCACAGGCAGCCCCTCGAAGGGGGCCCAATTCTGGCCCAGCAGGCAGGAGGGTGGCTCCACTCACACCAAGCCATCCCTCCCCGTAGGGCAACCTGCCCCTCTGGCTGAAGCCTGTGACTCCCAGCAGTCACGCAAGACGTTTTTGCTTTCCAAAATAAGGAAAAAGGGGTAGAAATGAGATCACAATTTGACTCTCTAATTCACGCCTGCAGACAAGGCTTGTGGCCTGCTGAGGAAAAGAGAAACACAAATGACACCTCACGGAGCCTCTCGGCTTCCAGCCTCCACAGGCAGCCCCTCGAAGGGGGCCCAATTCTGGCCCAGCAGGCAGGAGGGTGGCTCCACTCACACCAAGCCATCCCTCCCCGTAGGGCAACCTGCCCCTCTGGCTGAAGCCTGTGACTCCCAGCAGTCACGCAAGACGTTTTTGCTTTCCAAAATAAGGAAAAAGGGGTAGAAATGAGATCACAATTTAACGCTCTAATTCACACCTGCAGACGAGGCTTGTGGCCTGCTGAGGAAAAGAGAAACCCAAATAGAAATCTCCACAGGAACAGTGTTGAAGGCTGTGTGAGGAGCTCGGCAGAGGTGAGGGGCTTCTTGTATTTCTATTTGATTGAAACACAGACTCGCATTTGCAAGTGCTGCGTAAGCGTCTCCCCAGGACTCCCACGCAGCCTGCCAACCACACGGGATAAACGGGCTCAGATCAAACGGAGGATTAAAGCAACAAGCTACCCCGGCAGACTCCCAGGCTTTTAGAAAAGGGATTAAATTCCTTCCCCAGGCTGCTCGAGGCTGCTTTTTGGGGGGAACTTCTCGGGCTGCTGAATGCGAACGGCAAACCCCTCCGGTCCAAGGGCGGGCAGCGGGGACGAGTCAGGTGCAGCGGGGAGCCTTGAGCAGCCGCGGCGTTTACACGGAGGAGCAGCGCTGCTCCCCGGCCCGGTAGGCCAGCGCAGAGACCCGGAGACCAGCCCGGGATACCGGGGCTCACCGGGAGGCCGCACCCGCGGGGGGCGACCGGGGGCAACCAGGAGCTCACCGCGTCCCCTCCCAACCCCTCGTTGCGGCCCTCCCCGCCGGTTCCCCGGCACCCCAGCCTCCCCGCAGCCGGGCAGCACCGGCGGGACCGCCCCCTCGCCCCGCTCCGCTCCTCACTCACTCACCTCCTCGCCCGCCGCCGCCACTTCCGCCTCCTTCTGC